CGCTTCCACTGCCCACAGCCCACGCGGCCCCCTGGAGCGCAGCAGGGGAGCGCCCAGCAGAAAGCCAGGGCGGCCATGGATGGCCAGAGATGAGACTGGGTGCCGCCGGGCGCTGGGCTGGAGCTCGGGGCAGTCCAGGGTTGTGGAGACACAGGAGGGCCAGGGAGGGGGACTTGAGCGGGAGTCCTGAAGATCGCACTGGAAGATTTCATAAAAGAATTTTTGTCGGCCGGGCGCGGTGGCTCACGCCTGTAATCCTAGCACTCTGGGAGGCTGAGGCGGGCGGATTGTTTGAGCTCAGGAGTTCGAAACAGCCTGAGCAAGAGCGAGACCCCGTCTCTACTATAAATAGAAAGAAATTAATCAGACAACTAAAAATATATACAAAAAATTAGCCGGGCATGGTAGTGCATGCCTGTAGTCCCACCTACTCGGGAGACTGAGGCAGGAGGATCGCTTGAGCCAGGAGTTTGAGGTTGCTGTGAGCTAGGCTGAGGCCACGGCACTCACTCTAGCCCGGGCAAAAGAGTGGCCTCTGTCTCAAAAAAAAAAAAAAAAAGAATTTTGTGGGGGGGGGACAGTAAATTTCCTGGGCCACTTGGGTCCTTCAGGAGTTTCTCTTCAGGCAAGGTTTTTCCTCTTTTTAATATATAACTATAATATATATGAATATACAAATATAACTAATGTATGTGAGAATGGGGTACACCTGGGTGCTGGGGTCAGAGGGGAAGGGCCAAGACAGCCCTTCTCTTGGGCCAGCACCGCTTCCCCCACCCCTGTCTTGCCCCAGTCTTGTGGGGCAGGGGTGTGCTTCACAGCCAGATGGAACGACCTTCTGTCAACTGCCTCCTTTCAGAAGTCACACCTTCTGGTATCAGGAAGAGGACCTCACTGCTCCAGGCCTGGGGCCAGCCCAATAGCAGCTGCAGGAGGGCCGGGAGCTTCACAGGCTCTCCCCATTGCCAGTCCCGGGGTTCTGGACCCAGGGGTCCTCCCCATCACCCCCGATTGGTGGTTGTCACCCCTGTCTGCAGCTGGTTGTGCAGGGCTGATAGGGCACTGAAGAGCCAGCTTGGGTCAAAGGCCAGGCTCTGCCCATTGGGGACTTGACTGTCCCCAGGCACCCTGCTCCTCGGGCTGCACATCCAGGGTCCCCGGGGAGATCCTGTGGGTTAGTTCCCGCGTCAGAATCCTGCCTCACTCACCAGGGTGAAATTTTAATTTAAAAACTTAAAAAGAGGCTTTTCTAACTTCAAAAAAAAAAAAAAAAGGAACTTAGAGACCTCTGTCCTCCCTAGCAGACTAGGTTCCGCCGCTTTCCAGCTGCTTCTTTAAAGGGACCATTAAGGCATTTGCCCACAAAATTAAAGTGACCCACACCCTATTCCTTTAGATCTCCTGCTAGTTGTGTGTGTGTGTGTGTGTGTGTGTATGTGTGTGTGTCCTTCTTTCTCCTCTCTCTCTCTGTCTCTTAGCTTGACTCTACTACGTTCCTGCCTTTCATGACCCGGGGATGGAGAACTGCCCTCCCAACTCATGGCACCCTCCCTGCCCATGCTCTGAAAATAATAAATCATTGAACTTATTTCTTATTGGGATGACATATTGAATTTGCACCTTCTATCTGAAAACCCAGGGCCTGCCATGGGCGAGTTTGCCTCAGATTCCCAGCATCAGAGCAATAGTCAGGCAGGCATAAATTGGTCATGGATCTGACAAAAGCCATAAGGGTATCTGCCAATATAAACAAATGTCCCATGTGAGGGACTCATTCGTCTGGGTCTTCTTCACTTCCCATTAGGGCAGGTTGCTAGCTCCTTCGGTACCGTAACCCCAGTGTGGCTGTGAGTTCTCAAAACAGTACGGCACTGTCAGAGATGGGTAAATTGACTAACAGGTGAGAATAAAAGCCCAGACTCAGCCCATATATGTGTAGAATTCTGTTACATGGCAGAGGTGGCATAGCATATCGTGGGGAAACGAAGGCGTGTTCAACAAATGGGCTTGGAAAAAATGGTTATCCATATGCTAAGAGAGAAAATTGGAACTAACCCATACTATATAAAAATCTAGATTAAGACTTACATATCAAAACCCAAACTTTAAAATTCTTAATGGAGTATATAGGTAGGAAAAGATTTCTTAAATCCAACCAAGCAATGTCTGTCTAATAAAAGACTGGTACATATGAATATATTAAAATTTTAAATGTTTCTTATCAATTGACACCTTAAAAGACAAACTAGAAATTGGGAGAAAAGATTTACAACATGTGTCATCACAAAGGATTAGTATCATGAGAACCTAAAAAACTTCTTCAAATGCATATGAAGAACACAAACAATACTATAGAGAAATGGGTAAAAATTAAGACCAAGTCTTTTGCAGAAGAGGAAATACCTATAAATAAGGAGATTTTCAACATTAGTGATCAGGAAGTGCCAATCAAGACTAAAACATGATATCATTTTACACCCTAGCAAAAAATCAGTCTGACCACACCCAGTGTCAGAGAGGATGTGGATCCATGGACGTCTCTCTTATACTCCTGGGGAGAGTGTAAATTGGTGTGCCATTTTGGAAAGCAGTTTGGCACTAGTCCCCAACCTGAATATTCACATACTCTTAGAGCCAGCAGTCCCTTGGGCAGTGTTGAGATTTCGAGAGGAGACAACGGGTAGGGAGTGACAGAGAGACCAGGGAGCAAACTGGAGTCAGGCCTTGGAGGTGGAGAGCATCTTTTCAATTCAAGGGCTGTTCAAATCAACAAAAGACTAGAACAAGAATGTCACAGAAAATGACATCCAAATGCCCAGCAAACATATTAAAATGCGCTCAACCATATTAGTTTTTGAGAAAATACTCTAACTACAATGAGGTGCCACTACACACTCGCTAAAATGGTTACAGTGTGGAGGAGGATTGCAGCAACAGGAATTCTCATATGGGAATGTAATTTTTCCAACCCTTTTGGAAAACTATATAGACATATACTGTGAGACCCATCAGTTCTATTCCCAGGAACATACCCAACAGAAATGTGTAGAAACGTGCCCTGAAAGACACATACGAGAATGTTCATGGCAGCACAATTCGTAATAGCCAGAAACAGGTGACAGCCCAGATGTCTATGAGCAGTAAAATGGATAAACTGTGGCACATTCACACAATGAAATACCGTACAGCAATGAGAACAAATGCACTACAGATACACACGACGTGAATGACTCTCAAAAACGTGATCTTGAGCCAAATAAGCCAGTATCAAGAGAGTGTATACTATACCATTCACTTTTTATGAAGTTCAGAAACAAGGGTGAGGGTGGTGGTACCTCCAGGGAGGACAGCAGTGGCTGGCAAGGCCAGAAGGAGTGCTAGTTGTGTTCTGTTTATTGATCAGGGTGGTCGTAACTTCCACTTTGTGCAAATGCATCACTCTGTACACATAGGATTTGCGTGTTTTTCTGTGTGTATAAAATGCTTCAATTCAAAGTTTACATTTAAAAGGAGAGATGTACCAGCCTGGACAACATAGCAAGACTCTGTCTCTACAAAAAAAAAAAAATTAGCCAGGCTAATTTTTTGTACCTGTAGTCCCAGCTACTCAGCAGGCTGAGGCAGGAGTATCTCTTGAGCACCGGAGTTCAAGATTGCAGTAAGCTGTGATCATGCCATTGCACTCCAGCCTGGGTGATAGAGCAGGACCCTGTCTCAAATATAAATATATATATATATATATATTATAGATATAAGGAGAATTAAAAGAACCAACAGGACATGGTGACTGATAGGTGTGGTTGGAGAGAACAGAGAGAACCTAGTGTGACCCAGGCTGTGGCCTGAGCAACTGGTCAATGGAGTTACCCTTTCCTGAGATGCAGAAAAGGAGAGGAGGAACAGGCATGGAAAGTGGGGGGAAATCACGTTCAGCATTAGATGTGCCAGGATGGAGGTGTCTATCAGGAGTTCAAGTGCAGATGTCAAGTAGCCACCCTGATACTCAAGTTCAGAGCCCCAGGAAGAAGTCAGAGCTAGAGATGCAGATTTGGAAATTATCACGGTGTAGATAGAATACCAGGCCATAAACATGGATGAGATCTCCAAGAGCATCTGTGTGTGGAGAGGAGAGAGGCCCCAAGGACAGAAGGTGGTAGAGGGAACTCGAACAGTTAGTCTGGCAAAGGATTAGAGCCACAAAGGAGACCATGAAGGAGCAGCCAGAGAGCTGGGAAGAAAACCAGGAGAGCATGGTGTCCATAGGCCAAAGGGTTTCAAAGAAGAGGGAGTGATCAACCGTGCGTGAGGCACTGAGAGGTCAGGATAAGATCTGAGAATTGACTACCGGATTTAGCAACATGGAGGTCATTGGTGAACTTGCCACGGACAGTTGCTTGAAATGGTGGCATCTGAAGTGTGGAGTAGGGGAGGACAGATGGGAGGTGAGGCTGGGAAGGCACGGAATACACACAGCTCTTCCAAGAGTTTTGCTGTGTAGGTGAGTGCAGAAATGGGGCAGGAGTGGGAGGAGATGGCGGAGGCAGGGTGTTTAGATGGCAGCTCTTACAGCATATGCGTGGAGGGTTGCAATGGACATGGCAGGAGAGGAGACAAGATTTGGGGCCTGGTCACTGAGTGGACGGGAAGGGGACGAGATTGCATTATACCTGGGGCTTCACTTGCCAAGTGACTGGAAGGACAGGATTTAAGCAATCAGAGAAAGGTGGCCTGGCAGATAAGGCATTGCTTGAGGAGCTTGATAAAGTCTGTACAACTCCTGCTCTTTCTACTGCAGTCAGCCAGGTGGATTCAAAGGTTTCTTCTAGTAAACAGGTCCCTACCTTGGTGGGGGAAGGGAGGCCTTGGGGCTGGGCTGGGCTGGGTGTGACACCCTCCCTACCAGGCTTGTGCAACCTTGGGCAGGAAGAACAAAAACCGGCGTGTGCCTCGGGCCCCAGCAGAGCTCGGAGAAGCTGCGGGGGCCAGGCAGACAGGCCAACATGGTGGAGTTTGCACCCTTGTCTGTGCCATGGGAGCGCAGGCTGCAGACCTTCGCAGTCCTACAATGGGTCTTCTCCTTCTTGGCTTTGGGTAAGGTGGGCTGCTGCTAGGAGATGGGAGACCTCGGCACCTGGATGGGGCAGAGCAGCCATGCCAGGTGCGCACAGCACATTGACGGTACAACGACATTTGTCCTAAAGGGGGCTTTGCTGCACTCAGAGCCCCTGCCCTGAAAGACTTCCTCAGCCAGCCAGAAGCCTTTTGGGGGTGGGGTCACCAAGCCATTGCCTGTGGCTTCGGGTGGGTTACTTAACTTTCCTGGACTGTGCTGTGCGTTCTACCTTGCCACTTGGGCAGAGGACCAATGCATAGGCTGCCGGGTGGTGTGGGGAAGCCTCTGGGTGATGGTGGGAAAGTTCCGGGCTCCTCAGGCTGCTCAGAGAGGAGGGATTTCCTTCCGTTCTTTCAGAGAGGAAGGAACTGGGACTGGTGGTAGGGAAAGAGAGAGGAACAGGGAAGAACAGGAACAGGAGGGGGAGAAAAGGTGCAGGCTGAGAGTGGCTTGGGGAGTGCACGCCCGGTTCTGGGCAAACCCATGGTCAGATCGTGGCTGGACAACTGACCAGGTAATGGTCGTAGCCGATCCATGCTTGACCTCTCTGAGCCTCTACCTTGTCATCTGCAGAATGGGGATAACGATGCCGGCCTCACAGGGCTGTTGTGGAGGAAACGAGGAAATGTGATCACCTTTGCCCTGCACAGATGTGGCCTGGCCCTTGGGCTCGGCTCACACAGGGGGCAGGGTCTATCTCCTCACCCACCCCATCCCATTGATTTGTGGCCAGAGAGGTCACCCTTGCCCAAACTCCAGCTCTGTTGGAGGGAATATTTTTGAGGAAGGCCTGGGGCTGTGGATTGGGAAGGGAGAGTGAGCGGGAGTATGTGGGATTCTTCATGTCATCTGCTGGCTCCATGCTGGGTAAGAACTGTTACCCCGGGCCTAGGGCTCAGCCTCTGCACAGACACCATTGTGCTGGTTGTTAAAACGTTGACATACTCTGTACACATTGACTGTTAGCCATTTCACACACACACATGCATGCACACACACACAGGTGCTCTCTCAGAATCTCCCCACAATTTCGTAGCTAAAGGATTCATCCCTAGCAGAGTAGGCTCTCCATGTCCCTGCCCTAGAATCCTTTCTAATTGATCTGCGTCTCTGTTCTAATGGTTGTTAAACATCTTAAATACCCCTGGCTCTCCCCATTACACAGATAAGCAGAGAAATCAAGGATTCACCTGCAGCAAGGACAGTGAGAGCATAGATCAGAGGAGAATTCCACACTGGGGCTGGTCCCGGCCCTGCTGCACCGTCACCCATGGGGTGGCCAGGGGTTGGCCTCTTCCTACCTCCCCTTTCAACAACAAGGGCATTGGCAGTAAAGGAAACAGAGCTCAGTGAGTTTTAGGAACACTGAGCACTGAGTGTGTGGGGGGAAGAGGGGAGGCAGGGCACGAGGGGACAGGGCCAGGTCTAGGGAGCCTAAATGCCAGGCTGAGCTCTCCGGACTGTGCCTGAAGTTATGGGGAAGTCACAGAAGGGCTTGAATAAGAGGAGGGACCCGGCTGGATTTATCTTTGGTGATATGGGGCAGAGGATGGACAGAAAGACAGCTGGGCAGAAAAGGGTCTCCTTTTGCTCTGAGATCCGAAAGCTGGAAACTAGAACAGTTAATCCAATCAGTTGTCACCATTTATTGAGCACTTGGTGAATGCAGAGGACTTTGCTGGGGAGAGGGAGGTAGGGCAGGGGAGATGAAGTGAATAAAGCAGCCTGGTTTAGTGAGAAAAATGAGCTTTGGAGTCAGGCCTACCTGGGCTCAAACCCATGCTCCCAGGGTGACACTGGGGTGGCTGCATTCCCTCTCGGGGCCTTCATCTCCTCCTTGAAGTCCTGGAAAGTGGATCTCTTCGTCCTGGGGGCAAGGGCTGGATAGGACAGTGCTGCTAGTGCTGGGAAAATGGGGAGAGCTCAGTTTGGGCGGTGTCACCTGCCTTCCCCTCAGACCTCTGTCCCCTGACAGCTCCTGCTTCCCTCCCCAGCCGAGATCTGCCTTGTGAGCTTCATAGGCCTCCTGTTCACAAGATTCTGGCTCGCCAGCGTTCTGTACGCGGCCTGGTGGTACATGGACCAAGACACGCCGCGGCAGGGGGGCAGGCGTATCCAGTCCGTCAGGTGCTGGACCATATGGAAGTACATGAGGGACTATTTCCCCATCTCGGTGAGTGTTGGGGCTGGCTGGGGTGGGGGAGAGGAGTTGACCGGGGTGTGGCCCTGAGTGCAGTGACAGGATATCGAGCAGGGAGGCAGGAGCCTCCCACTGCTACGTGGCCTGGAGAAGAGTCCAGCTTTCCTTGGATCATGGTTTCCCATCTGTGGGGATGTAGGGCCAATACGAGGACTGATGAGCACACAGGATTTGCAGGAGCTCTATGGGCATGTAGTGTGGCGCATGTACGTCCCTTAACGTACAGACCCATCACAGCCCAGGTTTGGGGGTGAAGGTAATAAGCCTACAGGTCCTGAGAGACCATCTAACCTCACACTTAAATTCATCAGATGAGGAGACTGCCACCTAGAGAGGGACAGGGTATTGCCAAGGTCACACAGCAAGTTGTACAGAGTTTGAAGTTCGTACATTGACCACGGGTAAAGGCACAGGGGAGAGAGCCCTGAGGTGTTCTCCCGGGCAAAGCCCTGTCCCATTCTGGGGCTCAGTTTCCCCATATATCTAATAAGCAGACTGACGCCTCCTACTCTGAGTGCCTTCAAATCTCCGCCGTTCTGACTCATGTCACCTTGTGGTCATCGTGGACACTTGGCCCTGGAACTTGAAGGTTGGTCCAGAGCAGAAGAGATCCCTGGGTTTGAGTGAACAGACCTTTTGGTCCCTTCAACTGACTCTTAGACTAAACCCTTGATCTAAGCAGCCAGGCAGAGATGGTTTATTGGCCATAGGAAATAGGATGGGGAAGGCAGTGGGGACACAGAGCGGGGCAGGCACAGGCAGGTGGCCCTCTCTGGAAACAGGCAAGAAGTATGGGGTATGGCCTCTGCAGCTAGCAGACTAGATTCTAGTCCCAACTCTGCCATATACCATAGCTGCTGGACGACCTGGTAAGTTACACAGTCTCTCTGAGCCTCAGCTTCCTCACATATACAATGGAGATGATGCTACACACCTCACTGGGTTGTGTGGATTCAATGAGACGAATCAGGAAAAGCACCTTGCAGATTTTCTGTAAACTAGTATAATAGCTCGTACTATTTTACTGAGTCAGCAGGGACTCTGAGGAGCCTTAGACATGACCACAGGTCTGGGGAGGACTCTGAGAGCTTAGAGCCCTTCTGCTCTGACTTGCGCTCCTACATGGCTTCTCACAGCCCACCCAAGAGCCCCGCATCTTCCTGCCTCTCCAGAAATCAGGTCCCCTGTTGATGAAAGGGAAGGGGCAGAGGAAACAAGGCCCCGGAAGTTAAACAACTTGCCCGAGTCTTGGGGACTCAGCAGCAGAATCAGCTCCTGCCTTGCTCCCCTCAGAGAGTCCTGGGGCCAAGAAAGACTAGCAAAGTCTGGGTAACAACCAGAATGCAGGAGCCTCTCGTACCCCAGTGAGCAGGGCCTCCAGGGCAAGGGGCAAGGGTGGGGCAGGCGGGGCAGAGGGCAGGAAGCTGCTGGCAAGGACTGCCATGCTCATGAGAGGTGGTAGATGTTGACAGGCAGAGCAAGATCTAGCCTGGGGGGCCCAGGCAGGGGTCAGTCTTCCCCACCCTTCATATGTGCTTCCTCCACAGGGCTCCCTCCCGGGTCTTGTCAGCAAAGACAAGCAGTGCTTGCTGGGTCCCAAGAGCAGCCATGGGCACGTCACGAGCAGAGTCCCCCGCCCCACCTCAGGACCTCTGAGCTTTGAAATTCTGAACTCCTTTCCCTGCCTCTCCTCTTTCCAGCCTGGAGGATCCCTCCTCTGTGCTGGGAAGGTCAAAGTTTCCCTGGAAAAATGTGCTGTGGCCAGCCTGGGAAGGTGTATGGGACATCAGGTGCCAAGCCAAGAAAACCTTAAGCAGGTTCCGGCCGCTGGTAGAGCTTTGTAGGTTCTACTTCTGATCTCTCCTCCAACTTGTGAGCTGAATCCTGGGCTCGCCGGGAAAGAAAGGCGAGCTACGCAGGGACATGCACAAGCACAGGCCCAGAAGCTTGCCACAGTAGGGGTCCTGAGCCCCAGCCTGACGCTCAGCATGACTAAGGCAGAAGAGACACCTGCAGGTGAGGCTGGGAGGTCCTCAGGGTCAGATGGTGGAGGCCATCGGAAGCCTTTCCACAGAACTGGGGCTGCTGAACTGAACGTTCTCCAGGGGATGTGTCCCCGGTAGCCCAGGGGCCTCCAAAGGACAGCTTGTGGCCCCCTTCGCACCTGAGTGTTCCCAGTCGCAGGTCTGGCAGATATGACACTGAGGCAGCTCTGTGCCCCTCCCCTCTCCGCTGTCCTTTCTGCTCCTTCGCCAGCCGGGTGGCTCTTAAGGAAGGTTCCCCAACCTTAGCACTGTTGACCCTGGTGGGACGCTGGCCTTGATTTGCGGAAATTCTGTGTGCGACATTATTGCACACTGCAGGCCCCTTGCAGCGCCACCTGCCAAGAGTGGGCAGTACCAAGAGTAGCCAGCAGAGGGCGAGAGGATGTTCACGTAGACTTCGCCTGTCCTAGCCTGGGAGGCCGCAGGGGTGGGGCTGCTGCCTGCAGCCTCCCTTCCGCCAGCCCTCCTAGGAGGCCCTCCCACCCTTCCAGGCACCTTTACTGGGCAGGCCCTGCAGGTATGTGGGTGAGCAGAAGGTAGGGAGTCCCAGTTCTGCTGAGCTCCTTTGACATTCACAAACCTCTGCACTCCACTGTCAAATGCATGCGGTCCGGTGATTTCTGAGCTTTTATCAGTTCTTACTGGGATTTAATGAACTACTGGTTGGTGGTGGGATTTCAGGCAAAATTCAGAAATCGTTTTTGGGCCTTGGAGCTTTCTGAAGTCACCTAGTCAGCTTCCTAAGGAGCTAATGGTGGAGCATCAGGTGACATTTCATGTGGGAGGCTATTCCCCCTCATGCCAAAGACCCACCCATGAGTTTCCCAATGGGTTCCACCACTGTGAAGATTTCACCATCCCAAGCAAACACAGTCTACACAGGCCAAGGCCTTAGAAGGGACCAAGTGCTGTGGCCAGGGCTGGGTATCAGGAAATGCTGCCCTCATAGTGCTGGTCATTGTCAGAGCCAGGCTTGGGGCAGTGCAGGACACCCCCCTGTCCCCACCCACCCACCCACTCCCGGGACGAACCCTCAGTGCTTCCGCAGCCTGCCAGACATCACTAGGGACTCAGTGCCCTACCTCCCAGCCCCCACCCTGAGCACACTGAGGTCTCTTAGCCTAAGTCAGTGGGCCTCAGGTGGCCAGCTGTCACCCAGGACAGGAGCCTAGCTTACACAGTCTAGGATGCGCCCTTCCTCCTGAGATGGCTTCTTTCATTATGGGAAGGTGCTGCCTGTAAGAAGGTCTTCCTTCACGTGGAGCTGGGGCCTGTCTCTAGGGACCCTCCCAGAAGTCCTACCTCTGCCATGGGCAGGGGGAGCTGACACAGAGCACAGCTGTCCCCTCATCCCTAGGGCAGCCCCACAGGGACTGAGGGCCTCCCACCCTCTTGACTTCCACTGTGCTCCCAGCCAGGCAGCTCTCCAGGGGCTTTCTCCACCTGGGCACCAGTAATTTTGGGTCCGTATCATCCTTTGTTGTAGGGGCTGTCTGCACCTCTGGCATCTACCCACTCAATACCAGTAGCTCTACCCCTCTTAGCTGGTCCCCTCTGGCAAAGTCCTGGCCACTGTCATCTTTTTATCTGGGCTCCGCCTCCGTCAACACCCCCCTGCAGTCCCTCCTCCTTACTGTGGCCAGAATAATCCTCATAGAGTGATAAATCAGCAGCAATGACTTCCATGGCTCTTCAAATAAAATCTATTTTTGCCACAGTCCGCAAGTCCCTACAGTCCGGGCCCCTGCCCACCCCTCACCTTCCTGCCCTCTGTTTGCCATCTGAGTTGCCAGACATGAGCCATGTTACCTGTGCTAGTGCTCTTACTTGGAGTGCACCCTCTTACCCCATCAACCACCCCACCTTTCACTTAGGGACCCCTATAGGGCGGCACAGCCTGCTAGTTACATACATGGAGCTGGGCTGCTAGATTCAAACCCCAGCTCTGCCTCATTACTGACTGTGTGACCCAGAGCAAGTTAATGACCTGTGCCTCAGTTTCCTTATCTTTTAAATGGGGACAATGATACCAATACTTCCCTCACAGAGTTGACGGAGGATAAAGCAAGTTGGTGTACACAAGGTGCCTGGCACATAGAAGGTGCTGGGAGTGTTTGCCACCTCTTGCACTCTTTCCAGCTCTCAGGGCCTGGCATTTACTGTGTTTCTAAGATATCCTCAGTGGTAAAATATACCAGTATTTTATGCACTGCTAAGATAAAAAAGTCTTCCAATTAGAATTGCAAGATGCGTCCTGATTTCAAAATGTTTAAAATCGGGGGTGATGGGGAGGTACATCTTAGAATCGAGGGAAAGTGTTTGTAGGTGCGCAATGAGTGTGTGACTACAGCAGGGTGAGAACTTACCCACTGAGAAGCCTGACAGAGGGCCACACGGGGAGTTACAGCTGGTGCCAGGGAGAGTATTCAAGCCTTTCCGTCTAACCGGCCGCATGGGAGGAGACAGGGAAGCACTCCAGTCCCTAAACACACACACACACACACACACACACAGCCAACCACCTGAACCTGGAAGGGGATTCCTTTGAGTTAGAGCAGTGATTCTCAAACTTTGATGTGTATCTGAATTCCCTGGGAAAGTTCCAGAATCAGACCTTGCTTGCCCAGCATTTTTAACCTGCCGAGTAATCTAGGTACTTAAATAGGGCACGAACAGGCCCTCCCTGCGCCAGCCCCAGAGCAGTGTGAGGCAGGCGCTGATGCGAGGGCTGCTTTCTCCTGGGAGGGGAAGCCTGAGAGCCCGGGGCCTTCCAAGTTTGGCTAGAAAGGAAAAGGCCCCAACCATAGTTCTGAGCATCAGGATGTCTCTCTGGGTCTGGAACAAAGGCTTCCTGGCCCGCTGGCTCTCTCTGACGCTCTCTGCAGGAGATGGCAGGACTCAGATCCGAGTCATCTGTGTGGCTTTGGCAAGTCACTTAATCCCTCTGCATCTCGGTTTGCTCAACTGCCAAACAGGCCTGTCACTCACAGCCAGCCCCCCCAGGGCCGCGGCCAGTGTTAAACAAGCTGCTGTGTGTCTGCTTTGTGACCCACGAAGGAGCCATCAGGACACTGGCTCTTGAGGATCTCTTATTGTTCCATGGATGTTCGAGGACACAAGGTCATTGAGGAGAGATGGGACTGGGCAGACATGGTAGAGACACAGCCCCTCACTGTCCCCCGTCCCACCCAGGTCCAGATGCCCTGTGCAATGCTGTGATCTTCTGGGCAGGGACCAAGGAGGATCTTGGGTTGAAAGTAGCACGCACACCCTGCAAGAACTAAAAACATGTCCACACAAAGACTTGAACACAAGTGTTCATGGCCAGGTTGTTTGCAATGGCCAAAGGGTGAAAATAACTCAAATGTCCATTGACTGAGGAATGGACAAACACAATGTGGCATATCCATATAGTGGAATAGTATTCAGTCCTAAAAGGAATGACGTACTGATACATGCTACAGCGTGGATGAACCTTGAACACATTATGTTAAGTGAAAGAAGCCAGTCACAAAGGCCACATATTATATGACTCCATTTATGTGAAATGTCCAGAACAGGCAAATCCATGGAGACAGAAAGTAGATTAGTGCTTGCCAGGGGCTGGAGAGAGCGGGGAGTACTAATGGCAGAGGTTTCCTTTTGGGGTGATGAAAACACTCTGGAATTAGATAGTGGTGATGGTTACACACCTTTTAAATATACCAAAACCACTGAATTGCACACTTTAAGAGGATGAATTTTATGGTATATGAATTATATCAATTAAAAAAAATAGCAACCCCCAGAACGTAGCGACCTTACTGTCGCCTTCTCGAGCCCCAACTGCCCAGTGGCCCTCCCTGCCTGCTGGGGCTTGCACCCAGCCAGGGTTTCCCCAGAAGTCCATCCATCTGTGCTGAACAGAACTGAAGGAGCCAGATGGAGACCACGGCACCTCACACACCTTCCCCTCCTCTTCCTTTACCTCTTCCTTTACCATAGCAACATGTATGGATGTTTCACAATTTGTCTAAAGAGGCCCTGTTGATGTACATTTGAGTGGATGCCAGGTTTTTGATATTACCAAAGCATGATGCTCTAGTTAGTAGCCTTGTTCAGATGTCATTTTGTGCAAGTGTGAGAAATTCTGTTGGCTAAATTCCTCAGTGGTGGATTTGCTGGGTTAAAAGGTCAGTTATGTTTTTTGGTTTTGATAGATGTTGTCAAATTGCCCTTATGAAGGTACAAAATTACCTTCCCACTAGCAGAGAATGAAACTGTGAGCAAGTGTTTCAGTGCATAGAGCAAGGTATATTTTTAAAGAAATGCCACCACGTGGCTTCCTGAGGAAGTACCTTTCCCAGTGAGAATAACCAGGGACTGCTCTGCTCTGTCTACATTTTCTTGTCTAGTACATATGAAGTGAAGAGGGCTGTCCTTGTCTGGGAAGGCAATTGTCCCTCCACCTGTGGTCCCTGCAGCCCTTCTGCAAAGGCTCAGTGGGTAACCTGGAGGGCGTGCTGCAGGGGACTGTAGAGGCCATGTCCAGGTGGGCAGGAGAAGGTGGAGCTGTCAGGCGTGGGTGGGGCAGACGGGCTCAGGGCACTGTTGATGCCTGCAGGCTGCTCTGAAGGAGGGCAGGCAGGCCCTGCGGCCCCAAAGGCAGCAGTAAGAATGCTCTGGGAGTCACCAACTGAAATCCGTAGCTTGCTGACAGGAAGAACGTTCAGCCTGGCAAAGCTGAGGCGGTTGAGAAGGCTGCCCCCGTCCTGAGGGAGTACAAATCGCAGGGCCGGGCAGTCCTATCAGGGAGCCTTCTGCCAAAGGACTGGATGTGGGGCCGGGGGCCCTGTGGACTCTAATGGTCAGGGCTCCCAGAGCACAGGGCACTGAAAGGGGTAGGCCCCACAGTTCCTAGTAGAGTGAGGAAAGGATTGGTCGCCTCCACCCCCGCAGTCGCCGCCCATGGCAGTAATCTTTGCAGACTCAGCTACCTGGCACAGCCTGTCCAGGGACTAGCCGGGAGCAGCGTTTGTCAACTCAGGCCCCCCCACCAACTTCACCCAGAAGCTGCTGCTGACAGCGGCTCTCTCTCCCACTCAATCTGCAATGTCTGGTGGACGCTGCTGCGCTCTCCACGCCGCAGGCCTGACCAGGCCCCGGCAAGTCGCTGCACTGGCGGGGGAGAGAGTGGACAAAGGGCACTGAAGGTCTGGCGAAGGGGGAGCAGAGAGCCACAGGGTGAGACGCTTGCATGGTGCAGGGGTGAACGGGACCACAGCCAGCTTCCTGGTCTGCGCGCTCCTCGACCCAACAGGAATCCGCTCCTGATGTAGCCTAAGGATGCTGCTCCCACGTCTGAAGGGCCAATTTTTCTTGTAGTCGTCCCTCGGTATCCATGGGGCATTGGTTTCAGGACCCCTGCAGATACCAAAATCCAAGATTCTCAAGACTCTGGTATAAAATGGTACCGTATTTGCATATAACCTAAGCACATCCTCCCGTACCTTTAAACCATCTCTAGGTTACTTACGATACCTAATGCAGTGTAAATGCTGTGGAAATACTTGCTATACTGTACTGTTTAGGGAACAATCAAGGAAAAAAGTCGTACATGTTCAGTACTAACACAATCACCCATTGTTTTTTTCCCCCCGAATAGTTTGTGCCCGAGGGTGGTGGCAGCCGCGGACGTGGAACCCACGGATGCGGAGCGCGGTGCTGAGCGCTGTTAATGGGGCGCTTCTGGCGCGGCGGCGCCCCCGCGCGGCGCTTCGTTGCCCTCACGTTGTATCGCGTCGGGCAGTCTTGGGAATTCCAGGCACCGTCCTACCTGAGCTGCCCAGCAGGCCCTGCAGGTAGCAAGCAGAGGGACAAATACTGTAGTGCCATTTTACAGATGAGTGGCCTGAGAGGGAAGCGATCTGTCCAAGCCAGCGCCGAGTCCGTGGCACAGCCAGCACCATGGTATCTACCGCCAGGGGCCGTCACACACGGTATCTGAATCTCCGTAAGAGCCCAGGGCGGTCAGACATGGATGAAGAGCCCGAGGCTCAGAGGCGGGTTTTCCCAGGTCACACAGTGAGGGGCGGAGTCAGGGTTGTTGCACAGAGGCCCAGCCCTGGCTCACCAGGTTGCCATCCCTGCAGCTGGTCAAGACTGCGGAGCTGGACCCCTCCCGGAACTACATTGCGGGCGTCCACCCCCACGGGGTCCTGGCGGTGGGAGCCTTCGTCAACCTGTGCACTGAGGGCACAGGCTTCTCGTCGCTCTTTCCGGGTATCCGCCCCCATCTGATGATGCTGACCCTGTGGTTCCGGATCCCCTTCCTCAGGGATTACATTTTGACCTCGGGTGAGTCTCCCCACCCCGGGTAGCTCAGGAAGAGGAGGCTGGAGGTGTGCGAGGAGGAGCTTCAGGGAGGGCTGCCAACAGTTCTGTACTTCTTCCAAGAGCATGAGCAGCAGAAGAGCGCCTCGCTGGGCATCGAGCCCAGTGAGGAGGTCAGGAGGAGGAAGAGGACTCAGGGAACTCCCAGCTGGAGTGGGGTGCAGCGGGGGGACCCCTGGCCTCTGTGGGTATGGCTGCTGATCCCTCTCTTGGGCTATACCCACCCTCGCAGTCCCTGCTCCCTCACCCCATGCCTGACCCACCTTCTTCTCTCTCCAGGGTTGGTCTCATCAGAAAAGGAGAGTGCTGCTCACATTGTGAGCAGGAAGGGCGGCGGGAACTTGCTGGCCATCATCGTAGGGGGTGCCCAGGAGGTACTAGATTCCAGGCCTGGAACCTTCAAGCTGTTGCTGCGGAACCGCAAGGGCTTCATCAGGCTTGCCCTGATGCACGGGTATCAAGCCTCTGGGAAGAGCACTCTGAGTTCAGGGGAGATTGACAATGATTGTATTTTGGTGGGAAGACAGCAGAGAACAATGCAGGTTCTATTTTGGCAGGAAGATTCTCGGTCCATTCATAATGAAGATTATATTTTGATGTTTCATGCCCAAATACCTAGAAAAGTTTGCACAAAGGAGACTGGGTGATCAAAGGGACTAGGTAGGAATGGACATATTCCCCAAAGCTGGTACTAGACTGGAAACCTATGGGATCTGGAAGAATGGGATTTGGGGCATATTACAGGGCCGTTTTCCTATCTTGGGGTGAAGCATCTTTGAGAAATATGTGCCAGCTGGGACAGGAGAGATTTTACTAGGAAAAAAAAATGTAGACTTTTATATCTGGGAGGACTCTTTGAAGTATTCTGGTCTACCTGTCATGGTGCAACTGAGAAGCTGTGGCCCTGGGAGGGACCTGCCCAAGGTCAGAGAAGTCTCCTACTTCCAGCCCAGGGCTCTGTCCTGTGTTCCACCTCCTGGTTGCTGAGTCTCCGTAGGAAGCTTGGTGAGCTTTCAGCTTGTGCCGCCCCTGGGGCCTCCCAGTGAATGCCCTCTCCCCTCTGTTTCCCTCCAGGGCACCTCTGGTGCCAGTCTTCTCCTTTGGGGAGAATGACCTGTTTGATCAGGTTGAGAACTCTCCTGGCTCCTGGTTGCGCTGTGTCCAGAACTGGCTGCAGAAGAAGATGAGCATCTCCCTCCCACTCTTCCATGGCCGTGGCATCTTCCAGTACAGCTTTGGTCTCATGCCCTACCGCCGGCCCGTCACCACTGTGGGTGAGTCAAGACCCAGGCTGGGAGGGGGGAGGCTACCAGGATAGAGACCTGGGCTGTGTATTGCAAGGGGACATGGAGAAGGGCCAGACACGTCCCTGCCCTCATGAACCTCACGTTCTAGCCTGGGAAACACATGCACAAGCAGATCACTGTAACTCAGTGTGGGGTGGAACTATAGCAGAGGCACAAAGAACAACGGTCACTACTGATTGCTGAGCACCTGCTGTGTGCCAGGCACTGCACTGGCTGCCTCACCTGAAGCAGCTCGATTTGTCCTAACAACCTCTGATGCAGGGATTAATATCCCCATTTCATTGATGACAAACCGAGACTCAGAGAAGTTAAATAACTTCTGAAAGCTCACACTGTCTTTGAATAACGAAGTTGAGATTTGAATCAGGATCTATCTGACTTTTTATCATGCCAGAGAAGAAGGGTTTAATTCTAACCCAGAGGATCTAATGAGGCTTATTTTGAGAAGGTGGATAGCAGGGAAGGGCATTCCAAGTGTGTTAAAATTGTGTGTAAAATAACCATCAATAGGCTTTGAATTAGAGCCTGAGGGATGTTCCTTTAAGAAATGGGCATGAGCTTTACAGCATAGACTCAACACCATCTTTTTCGGCTATCTGGACACCTCTTTTGCCTTCTTAGATTTCAACTAAGTTCCTCTGACAAAGTTTATCGAGAGAGGTCCATTCATCTCATCTCCATCCATCCATTTATTTGTTAGTTGAGCACAGACTTGGTAAACCCCTACATAATGACCTTCCCTGTGTCGTGTGGCAATATTTTCATGAATTTTAATACTGCTACTGCCTACAGAGTTATCATGAAGGGGAGAAGGCAGGGGAGCTGCCCTCCCAGCCAGGCAGAACCACAAAAAGAAGGTTGGTTGGGGCCTTCCTGATTCCTCCCTAGAATGAGGTGGGGGGCCTGCAGGTCAGCATGGAGGAGTGTCAGGAGAAGAAGAGATGCCTGGGCTATGAACCTGCCCCATCCTGGAAATATAGGCACTTCCAATCATGGCATCTTAGACTCTCCAAATCATACAGCCTGAAAGTGAAGGGCTTACTCCTGGGGTTTGAAATCTGGCAGTGGTTCTTCCTGGTTATGTGACTTTGAATGAGTTACTTAACCTCTCTGAGCCTCGTTGCATCACCTGTCAAATAGGAATAATGATGGGTTTTTATCCCCATAAGATCAAAGAACATTACACATGTGAAGTACCTAGCACATTGCCTGGCACATTGAAATAGGGTATTATCCTGTTGGTGTTATCCTGTCGGAATCTTGAGTTGCCCTAGCATCTTAGAATCCATTTCCTGAAATTAGGGTTCAAAGCGATGGCAGAAAGAGTGCTTTCCTGCAGGGATGACCATGGGGGTGGGCACCTGCCCCAAAGGCTCCTGTGACTCCAGCAGTCCCCACTCTGGGCCACTGTCCACCTTTGTGCCTTGCAGTGGGGAAGCCCATTGAAGTGCAGAAGACGCTGCAGCCCTCAGAGGAGGAGGTGAACCAGCTGCACCAGCGCTATATCAAGGAGCTGTACAACCTCTTCGAGGCCCACAAGCTCAAGTTCAATATCCCCTCTGACCAACATTTGGAATTCCACTGAGCTCCTCCAGCCAGAGGAAGGGCTGCCCCAAAGGGCAGGCCAGCATCAGAGAGCCCGGCAGGAGGTGGTGTGATCTGAGAAGACTTTCTGAAAGTGTTGGCCATATCTTCAGAGCCTTCCCAAACTCCTGCAAATCCAACCAATGTCAGGCCACAAGTCACAGCCTGCAATGTGGAAGAGATCAGACTCTGGCATCTGCAATTTGTATTGCTGCTGCAAAACCTCTGCAAGTCTCCTGCTCCTTGGCCTCGGTCTGCCCATTGGTGAAATGGGAGAGAGGGCTGGAAGAGAATGATTTCTGAGGTTGCTGTCCTGTGTTGTAACATCACTCAAACATTCTGAAAGAAAATGTAGGCAAAGGAGAGAAGGTTTCTTTTCCTTTAACCTTGAGTGACAGCACAAAGAAGCCACCAGCTCCAGGCTCTTCTCCTACAAGCCCCCTTGTCCTCTGCCCTGGATGTCCCAGCTCCTCCATCCCAACGCTGGAGAGGAGCGGGGAGCCAGTAAGCCCCTGCACTCACCCTAGGCACCTTCAAGTTCTGGGTCCTCTGAGGGATGGAGTGGCAGCCAAAGGGGCCCAGAAGGTGGGTACTGCACTCTGCCACTGACCAGATGTATGACTGTGGGCAGGCCTCTTCCCCCTCCCTCTGAGCCTCAGTTTCCCCGACTGACTAAGATGATCTCTGAGTCTCAGCTCTGACATTACACAGGCTGAGAGCTCCGTGAGGGTGCCTCTTACTTGTCCTTTGTAACTTCGGCCCCTGACCTTGGCACAAAAGGGGGGCTCCATAAATGTCAACTCAATAAATGAAAGGATCCTATTCTAGCCCTTTTCTCTTCCTTCCTGCTCTCCAACCAAGGGGGCTGGATGAAGCCTCACCTTTGAGCCCCAGCCTGGCACTGCGGCCCCATCTCACCTTCCCAGAAGATGGATCAGACTGGGCCAGAGAAGACCATGTTGATCTCTTCCTTCCTGAGCCTCCAACCCGAAGCTTACCACCTCTGGCCCCATTCTGTTGGGAAAGACGGGGGAAGGGCTCTGTTGAGACACAGGGCAGACCAGCAGAGAATGAAAACCAGATGCAAGGTGCGTGTTTGCATGTGTCTGCAGGGTGGGGAAGATGGGGACAGACGCCCTGAGGATTCTGGATTCTGGGTTAGGCATTTGTGTCAGTAGTGAGGGGACGGGATGGCTGGGTCAGACCAAGGCTTGTGACTCCCTCTCACCCTCTAGTGGGGAAGCAGACACTTCCCCAGCAGAAGCAGATCACACCAATGACTACAACATGGGGAGCATTTGGAGAAATATAAATTTGAGGTCCAGTCCTGGCTCCACACCTGTTCAGTGACCCAAACCTAAGTTTTTTCATCTAAGAAATAAGGATCACAGTATCTACCTCCAGTGTTGTGAGCAGTTCCTGAGATAATAAGCTGCTCATGTCCTTTGTGTGATGATGTGCAGGCCATGTAAATTAGGACTCAGGTGATGAATGTGCCCAGTGTCTTGTGAAGGTGCCTGTTAATATCCTATTCGGCAACGTGGCATAATGTCACAAGAGGAGAAGGGATAAAGAACAGTGGGGCCTGGTTCAGTGGCTCATGCCTGTAGTCCCAGTGTTACGGCAGACCGGGAATAGACCGAGACGCACACAGAAATATTGGCAAAAAACAGGTTTACATGCCAGCGGGCTCAGATGGGGATTTTTCCCTCCAAAATTCTGAGCCCCAGACAAAGAGCATTGCAGTCTTTTATACACTCTGCTTAAGGGGGAGGGGCACGGTTACAACAGGGTTAACTTCAGTGAGGCAGAGTCTTAAGTTACTTTATAGCCTAGTATACTAATTGCTACAGATGATTTATGAGGGGAAAGGTCGCAGGGGAGGAGGAGCCTCAGGTAAAGAATGTAAAGGACAAAGCCCGGTAGTGGAATTTTCCACTTTAGTGGGATTTTCCAATTTTCCACTTCACCAGCACATTGGGAGGTGAGGCAGGAGGATTGCTTGAGGCCAGGAGTTCGAGTTTACAGTGGGCTGTGATCAAGCCACTGCACTCCAGCCTGGGCAACAGAGTGAGATCCTGTCTCAAAAAAAAAAAAAGCCATGGTGTTCAGAGAAAGGAGTGATGATTTCCAGCCAAGGGGAAGACTTGGAGGAAGTGACCCCCGTGGGCAGGGCCTTGAATGAAGGGCAAGATTAACAAAGGAGGTAAATAATGGCCTATAATAGTTATCTGCTGCTGTGTAATGAGCCACTTCCATACCCAGTGGCTGAAGACAGGGAGGATTTATTATTGCTTACAATTCTGCGGGTTCACTGGCGGCTCTCCTGGAGTCCTGCTGGGGCTCTCATGCAGCTGCATCCAGCCGCTGGGTCAGCTGGGCCGGGACAGCCAGGGGTGCCAGGGCAGCTGGGCCCCTCTCTGTTCTGACTTTTAGCATTCAGTGGCGGCTGATTCCAAAAGAGTGAGAGCCAAGGACTCAAGTCCTAGGCTGTACAACTTGCACAGTGTCACTTCTGCTGCTTTCTGTGGGTCAGAGCAAGTCACATGGTCAGTTCAGATTCCAGGGGTAAGAAATAGGCTTCGGCTCTGCACGGGAAGAGCAGCCACACCCTATTACAAAAGGGAGTGGTCACATGAGGGATTATTATGGCCATCTTTGCAAACTACCTACCAAAAATTTAAAACACAAAGCCTGCAGCAGAACCCCCCACCTGCCTCCCTGACCCTGTGCACACGCACCCCCTGTACTTCGCTGTGTGACCATGACCAAGCCATGGTGTGTCCTGAGGGCCCCAGCTCAGCGCCACACCTCTGGCAGTCTCCCCGCTCGCCAGCCCCGTCGCCCCCCCTGCGCAGCCACGTGCTGCCCAGAATGCAGATGCGACTGCGTCATTCCCTACGCAAAATCCTTTCGTGGCTCTGCACTGCTTAGGCTTGCCCCAGTCTGGATCCCAGCAGGAACCAGAGAATAATTTGAGGAGGGTTTAATAAAGAACAATTTCCCAAGGTGTGTGCACTGTTACCACCTAAGGCCTGGAAGGACAGAGGGAGGCAGCAGTTACCTATGCCAGGAGAATCACGTGCAGGGCCATCGCTGGTCAAGGGCACAGGCAGCTCCGGTGACTCTGCAGGAGATGAGCCGGGAATGAGCATTCCTGCTTCGATCTCCCTTCATTCAATCTCCATTGCGCATTGCCCGAACCCAGTAGGAAACCGGAAGGAAGGCGGGCCTGTGGCTGCAGTCCACGCAGGTGGGTCTCCCGGGAAAGACAGCAGGGCAGAGACGGGTGGGAGTGGATTTGGAGGGTTCAGCAGAAGACAGAGCATGTCCCACTCTGAGCCCGAGCTTCTCAGCCTGCCATTCGCCATGTTCCACCATGTGGCCCAGTTTCCTCTGTCCTCATCGCTCTTCCTCCCTCACCCCTAATGCTCCCGTCACACTGAACCTTTGGCAGTTCCTTGTATCAGCCATACTGTCTCTCACCTCTGGCCTTTTGCCCTCACTGTTCCCTCTTCCTGAAATGCCGTCTCCCCCTCCCCTATTACCTCCTCGTTGTCTAAGGAATTCCTACTGATCCTTCAATACTGATCTCACCTATTCAAAGATGGCTTCCCTAATGCCTCTGGTTCAGAGGGGTTTCCCCTGGGTCCTCCAGACTTCACCTTCCTCCACATAGCACTTAGCACCCTGGGAGGGGGGTGATTCACTGTCTGGGTAAATCCTATGCACCAAGCCCCTTCCTCTAGTGCACGCCCTCCAGCCTACCCAACAAGCAGCACCGGCGTCCTCTCTCACAAATGAAACTGAGTGGTCTCCAATGCCCAGGGTCATGCCTAAACTCCCCTCAGCCTGGCATTCAAGGCCCTTTATCGTCTGCCCTCTAGGCCTCACCAGCCTTACCCCCTGGACCCTCTCCTCTGCTACCCCTCACCCCTGCACCGGTCACTGCTCTCCGAATGCACACTGCTCTTGCACTTGTCTAGGGTATGCTGTTCCCTTTCTCCTGGAACACACTTTTCCCCTGACCTGGTCAACATCACTCACCCCCAAAAGTCATCTCCTTTGTCAAACCTTGTCCCCACCCCACCCACCTTCAAACTCTGTCCTCTGCCCTGAGTCAGAGTTAGTACCCCTCCTTTGGGCTAGTTTTGGGGGTGAAAGGGTCATGGCCATTAACGGGTGAGTGGGCTTCTCTGTCTACCAACGGACTGGGAACCCCAGGGGTCAAGACTAAATCCTTGCTGCCCTCTGCCCCCAGCCACACCTCAGCATCCCCAGGGAGTGGGCATTGGCTGAGTAAATGAATTCTTGTGTGCGTGCTGCTCTCGATCCCCAGACGCCGCCAGGCCCAGGGCAGGGATGAGGGGCAGAAGACCCAGGCATGCTTTGGAGGATGATTAAATTAGTTAGCTATTGCTGTGTAGCAAATTGCTCCCAGACTTAGCTGCTTTAAACATTTATTGTCTCACGGTTTCTGAGGGTCAGAAATCTGGGAGTGGCTTAGCTAAGTGGCTCTGGCTCCACGAGGCTGCAGCAGGCTGCTGGTGGGGGCTGTGGTCTCTGAAGGCTTGAGTGGGGCTGGGGGACCCACATCCAAACTCCCTCATGCAGCTGTTTGCAGGAGGCTTGTTCCTTGCTGTGTGGGCCTTTCCATGGGGCTGCCAGTGACATGGCTTCTCCCAGAACGAGTGAGCCAAGGGAGAGAGGCCGCCTGCCTTTGATGCCCTGGTCTCTGAGTCATGTGCGTTCAATTCTACTCTAATCTATTGATTAGATGTGAGTCACTAAATCCAGCCCACACTCCATACAGGGTGTGACTGCAGGAGGTGGGACCACTGGAGGCCAGCTTGGAAGCTGGCTACCACAGTGACAGTAGATGGTCCCTCAGGGACTAGACCGGGCTGTGCCAATGCGGTGTGCTGCTGCATGGGGCAGCTTGCCTTGGAGGACAGAGACTGAGCTGGCCATATAGAGGGGGCCCAAATGGGTGGGGGGCAA